CAAAGGATGCCAACAAACCACACTGAGCCCAGGAGGAGAACTTGCATATCCAGCTCCTTTCTGAGTCCTGACAGAGCAGTGTTCCATCCATAACCATTCCCAGAGCCTGTTATCAGCTCAGCTGGGTTCTCCCAAAGTATTTATCCGGGTGTTGGACTGATAACAGTGTGGTGGGCTGGAGTCATGAGGAACTGTGATCCACCACGGGCAAAGGTGCAGTCCTGAGTCTGCAGAGAGCTGGCTCAGATCCTGACCCATGGCTACACAGCCTGTAGGTCCTAAAACAATAAGAAGACGTGAAAATTCCTGGAATTACAGTGCTGGTGACCCCAGGCTGGCCAGGTGTGAGCCAGCTTTGTTATGGCTACTTTGCACTGAGCCCACATCAACAGTGAGGATCCAACTCTGACGTGCCATAAGATCATCAAAATGCAGCTCACTGATTCCCAAAATGCAGAGAAAACAAGAGGATGCTCCAATTTTCCCCACTTTTCTTGAATTGAAGCCTTTATGCCTTGACACCCCTCAAACAATACCCCATTAAAATCCAGAAGGTTCTCAAAAGCAAAAACCTTTGAAGTGGTCCTGAGCAGAGTTCAAGAAAAATCTGTATGATGCTCTCAGGCATTTTGTGTGGCTTTTGGGGTTGTCCTGTGCAGGACCAGGAGCTGGACTCGATGATCCTTGTGGCTCCCTTATAACTCAGGATATTCTGTGATTCTCTTTGTGTTTGGTGCTTGTGCTGCTCTGCTGAGCTTTTTCAGACCTGGATTAGGACTCACCCAGCAAACACTGGAGAAATCCCCCCAGTACCACCACTTCTGCTGCTGTGCCTGGTTCAAAGCAAGGATTTGACCTGCATTTTTCCAGGTGAATGACTAACTTTTTTAAAGAAGCCCAGAAGAAGCAAGGGAAAATTCAGTCTCAGCTTCCAAGTTGTTCCACTTGGTGTAAAATGCTTTGTCTCACTGATTCAGAGTTCTGAAGCAATGTCAGTCTGGGAAAGATTGGATCCATCAGGCTGCAAAGCCGTTCTCCCTGTTCATCTGTCATGGTAAATATTTATACCCAACAAAACTGATGGCCTGCAGAGGAGCACTGCCCCATCCTGGGAAAGCATCCACTGAGGTGTGAACTGGAATTTCAGATCCCAGCCAAGCAGCAGAGGAGCTGGAGCACAGAGCTGTGGAGCAGAAGTGCAGCACCACTGCCAGCAGCCTCCTTTGTGGGATGTGAGGGAATCCCTTCCCATCTGTTCCAGGCCTGTGAGCCATCCTGTGAGACACACTGAGCATTTTCCCTCTGCTCTTCCCTTTCCTCTCCTTGTGCTCCCTCTCCCTCTCCATTTGCAGGAGGAAATTTGTGTGTTTGCAGCCTTTTTTGTGTCTCAGCCCTATGCTAACCCAAACCAGCACCAGCCACATGCCAAAGGCAGCCAGGAAAGATTTGCCTTTTGGAGATGTGACAAGGAAAAACCCAGCTGGATATTTACCCTCACCACAGGCTCTTCTGCAGCCTGTCACATTCCCCACCAGGCTGTTCTGCACAGGAACCTGAAGATGGGATCTTCTCTAAGCTGAGGGGATCCTTCAAAAAGTGTGGAGTACATCAGCATGCCAGAGCTGTGCCCCCGGGCACCCTGCTCACAATAATTTCATCACTGAACATCCAGCCATACCTCCTTCCTTCTGTCAGGGATGTTTGAGGGGTTAAATGAACCTGCTGAATGGAACTGCTGTGACAGGCATGGCAGTGTCAGCAATGCAGAGCTGCCAGCCCAGCTGTGTTCCAGGAAAACACAGGAGCTGGGGGTGAAATCACTTCATAAAGAGAGAAATCTTCTCACTCTGGGGACGTGAGCAATCAAGGGAATGATGACATTGGGATTGGGCCCTGTTTGACTGGTTTAGTGCAGGAATTTGGCTCCACAACTTGGCCTGGTCTACTCTGGTTCTCATCCAGCTCATCAATAAAATGGAATTCAAGGACTTCACTGCAGATGACAATGTGGAGTGAGCTGACCTGGCCCCACACAGAACAGACCTCAGCACTTTTGCTGCTTCCCCACCCAAAACTGACCCCAGCAGGGCAATTGCAGCCAGCTGCTGCATCAAAGATCAGAGGTGTGCCTCTTAGAAGGTATTAAAGGAGAAAAGGAGACTCAGGGCTGCCCCCATCACTCTCTGCAGCTCCTGAAAGGTGCCTGTGCTCAGCTGGGGCTGGGCTCTGTCTGCAGCAGCACTGACACAGCCAGAGCACACAGCCTCGAGCTGCACCAAGGGAAATACAGGTTGGAGAG